TGATTGTAGGTGAACTATAAATCCCAGCAACTACAACTCCCAAATGTCAAGGTCTACTTTCCCCAAATGGGCCTGACCCAATCGGAGGGGAGAGCAGGCGTGATCAGTGTATGGCAGTGTGATGCAGAAGTCCAGGCGAGGGAGAGCGTGTGAGGCTGGAGGGAGGCTCGGGACAGCAAATCCCTTCAAGGCATTGGAGTTTTGTGTGGGAAGCTTGGGCCAACTCTACCACTGTCAAAATGCGCTTTGATTGTAGGAGAACTATAAATCCAAGGACCTACAAATCCCAAATGTCAAGATCTATTTTTTCCAAACTTCACATCTGAGTATATTGAGTATTGGTGCCAAGATTGGTCCACATCCATCATTATTGGAGTCCACAGTGCTCTCTGGACGTAGGTGAACTACAACTCCCAAACTCAAGGTCAATGCCCACCAAACCCTTCCAGTATTTTCTGTTGGTCATGGGAGCTTTGTGTGTCAAGTTTGGTTCAATTCAATTGTTGGTGGAGTTCAGAATGCTCTTAGATTGAAGGTGAACTATACATCCCAGAAACTACAACTCCTGAATGTCAAGGTCTATTTTCTTCTAACTCCACATATGGGTATATTGAGTATCCGTGCCAAGTTTGGTCCAGACCCATCATTGTTTGAGTCCACAGTGCTCTCTGGATGTAGGTGAATTACAACTCCGAAACTCAAGGTCAATGCCCACCAAACCCTTCCAGTATTTTCTTTTGGTTGTGGAAGTTTTGTGTACTAAGTTTGGCTCAATTCCATCATTAGTGGAACTCAGAATGCTCTTTGGTTGTAGGTGAACTATACATCCCAGCAACTACAACTCCCAAATGACAAAATCAATCCCCCCAACCCCACCAGTATTCAAATTTGGGTGTCAATTTGTGCCAAATTAGGTCCAGTGAATGAAAATACATCCTGCATATTGGATATTTACATGGCAGTTGTGAAGTAGCAATGCAAATAATGTTATGGTTGGGGGTCACCACAACATGAGGAACTGTATTGAGGGGTTGCGGCATTGGGAAGGTTGAGAAACGCTGCCCTAAGACCACAGATGTGGACGGCCTCTCATTAACACATAATAGAAGGCCTGGCCATCTTTTAAACACTGTTTGGAGTTGCAGCTCTCTCTTTCCAAGCCCAAAACCACATTGTTTTCTTTTCAGCCATTCAAAGCGGAGTAAAAGATTAAGCTGCCTGGCGACTTCACCATCTTCCCATCGTCAACATAAACTCTGTCTTGGTTTTCATTAAGCGCAAAGATCCTCTTATAAATAGGAAAAACACCGCTCCTCTCCAGATTATTTCCTTTACATAACATTTTCGACTATATTGACACCACCGGCTGTGCAGACAAAGGGATCAGGGCTGGTGGAACACGTCCCAGGAAAATACAGGTTCAGAACAGGGTTATTATCCAATAGCCCCATTCAAATGGCATGGCTCAAAGCAAGATCACTATCCGGACGACAAGGAAGGTGGAATCAGGTGTTATCGCCCCAACCTTATTTTCCATCTTCATCCTTATGATACTTCATCTCGTTGATAGGAAGCTTCTCACCGGAGTGGAAATCATTTATCAGGCTATTTAACCTCAGGAGACTGTCACAACAACATCTGTTATAGAATTCCAATACGCTGATGATACCACAGTCTCTGTGCATTCAGAAGAAGAACTACAATATCTATTATAGAACTCCAATATGCTAATGATAACATAGTCTGTGCAAATTCAGAAGTGGGTTGTTGTAGGTTTTTTGGGCTGTATGGCCATGTTCTAGAAGCATTCTCTCCTGACGTTTCACCTGCATCTGTGGCAAGCATCCTCAGAGGTTGTGAGGTGTGTTGGAAACTAGGACAAGTGTGATTGCTATATCTGTGGAATTATGTCCAGGGTGGGAGAAAGAACTCTTGTTTGTTTGAGGTAGGCGTGAATGTCTCCATTGGCCACCTTGATTGGCATTTAATGGCCTGGCAGTTTCAGCTGTGACGTCTTACTGCCTGGAGGAATCCTTTGTTGGGAGGAACATGGCCAGACAGCCAAGAAAACTCACAACAATCCAATAATTCCAGTTGTGAAAGCCTTCGACAACTCAAAGAATACAGAAAACTTCCAAGATACTTCACCGAGGCCTGGCTTCTAACACGAAAGCCAAAGTTGCTGGAACTGGCTGTTAATAAACAGCCATGAAATCGTGTCTTTTCCCATGAATTTTCTGTGTCTCATTCCCACAAAGTCTCTCGGATTTACAGAGCTGATTCTCTGCTGTCATCTGTAAACAAAGATATTGTAACATCAGGTGCTTTCGCATGAAAGTTTTCCATTTCACTTAATTCTTCTTCACTCGAACCCTTATCTAATGATGTTGTTTCTGGCTCCTGTGACTGACCTACAATAGCCACAAACTAGGTTGAATTGAAAGACTAGAACAAAATGTGCAGTTTAATAAATATTTTCCATGTTTTTATGATAGAAGCAATTAGGAAATGACATTTATAACCCAGGAACAAAAATGTTAGTACATAGCGGAATTGGTCCTAGCGTATGTGAGAGAAAGGATCAGAAGATACCAGGAGAAACAGGGACTACGAGAGAAAGGAGCAGCCAACACATAGATCTATCTCCCGCCTCTCCTTGGCTTCCAATCTGACAAATATGTTTCTCATCACAAGAGGCCCAAAGAAGAATTTGCCCCTGGGAACGAGAGTAACTGCGGCTGGGAGGAGACTCAGACGGGGATTATGGAGACAATGAAAGAGGTCAAGGGTTGGGGGCGAAGTAGAGGAGGGTGGCTCCCCACGGATTTCTTCCAAAACAGTTGATCCTACACAAAGTCCTTCTCACAAAACAAAGCACAAGTGTGTTGTCCAAGTGTTTCATGACCAGAGTCACTGGGTTGCTGTGATTTTTCCAAGCTATCTGGCCATGTTTCAGAAGCATTCTCTCCTGATGTTTCGCCCACATCTCTGGCAGGTATCCTCAGAGGTTGTGAGGTCTGTTGGAAACTAGGCAAGTGGATTAGTATTGAATGGTCTTGCTGTTTCAAATTCTGGCTGCTTCCTGCTTGGGGGAATCCTTTGTTGGAAAGTGGTAGCTGGCCGTGACTGTTTCAAACTGCTATGTTGGCAGGAACTGGGGCTAACAGCGGGAGCTCGTCCCGCTCCCCATATTCAAACCGCTGACCTTTCAGTCAGCAAGTTCTGCAGTGCAGCGGTTTAACCCATTGCACCAGCAGGGGTTCCCAACTATTGGAAACACAATTATGTGAATTTAGTAATTTCATAATTCCTATAGCTGGGGCTAATTCTATCTAACAGTTTCTTGATCCTGGGTTATTTGGCCTATGTACTTGAGCTGTATTTATTGATTGATTTACAACAATTTTATGCCGTCCTTCTCACCCCGAAGAGGACTCAGAGCGACTTACAAGATATATATACATACAATATATTATATTATTAGCATAGCACAATATCAGTATTATATATTACTATATTGTACTATACCATTATATTGTAATATTATTAGTAATATCAGACATAATATAAAATATATAAATATAATATTGTATTATTATTAGTAGTAGCATTATATTGTATTACAAAATTATAAATATTACATGTATATACAATATATTATAATATATTACTATGTTGTACTATACCATTATATTGCAATATCATTAGTAATATTACATGTAATATAAAATATATAATAATATTGCATTATTATTATTATTAGTATATTGTATTGCATTATAATATTATAAATATGATATCTATATACATTATAATATATTACTATATTGTACTATACCATTATATTGTAATATTATTAGTAATATTACATGTAATATAAAATATATAATTATAATAATGTATTATTAGTAGTGGTAGTATTATATTGTATTAGATTATAATATGAAAATATATGTATATACAATACAGTATAAAATATTACTATATTGTACTATACCATTATATTTATTTATTTACTATATTTCTATACCGCCCTTCTCAGCCTGAGGGCGACTCAGGGCTGATATTGTAATATTATATGTATTACATTATAATATTATAAATATTACATGTATATACAATATAATATATTATATTACTATATTGCACTATGGTTAGTAATATTACATGTCATATAAAATATATAATTATAATATTGTATTATTAGTAGTGGTAGTATTATATTATATTACATTATAATATTATAAATATTATATGTATATACAATATTATATTACCATATTGTACTATACCATTATATTGTAATATTAGTAGTAATATTACATGTAATATAAAACATATAATCATAATATTATTATTGGTATTATATTGTATTATATTATATTATAAATATAATATATATATATACAATATATTATATTACATTACTATATTGCACTATTGTTAGTAATATTACATGTAATATAAAATATATAATTATAGTATTGTATTACCAGTAGTGGTAGTATTATATTGCATTACATTATAATATTATAAATATTATATGTATATACAATATATTATATTGTATACATAAACACACTTTTCATATGGGCTTGGTATGTATGGGCTCCCATTCTTCCCAGCAGGGTTGCTGAACTATTGGCCTTTTGGGCCCAAATAAGCCAGGAAAACATACCAGAAGGGCAACTCACTCATTTGGGAATGGGATCCAACCTGTTACATAAACCCAAGACCCACAGGGCTCCTTGGACTTCCTGACTCTTCTGAGTCACCGAAGGGGCTTTAATCCAATCGGGTGCGTTTACTACCAACTCCCACCACTTCCCCGTTCCCGTCCCCCACCTGAGAGCGTGACGGAGTGAAAGGAAGGCTTCCAACACACTCGTAAAGAAAGAATAACACACGACCCTTCCAGCGTCTTTGGTTTCACCTGCTAGGAATAGATGAGCTGGGAGTGGCTTCGGGGACGGTTGCAAAAGGGGTGGAGGTACCCAAGGGGTATTTAAGATGCTGGGGATCTTAAACACAAGACACACACCGAGAGCTGCAGAAAGAAGTTCACGTGAAGGTCCACTTTGCTCAGATTCGGCATCCGCTCTCCTTGCAGAAACTTGAGTCTAACAATCAAGGAGAAGAGACAGGAAGTGCCCAAACGAAGATGCCAAGTGCCTCGAGTCTCCAACTCGCATGGTTCTGCGCCTTGACCGTCTGTTTGGCCATCTCCCCAGCCTGGCTGCAGAAACCCCCCAAGAGGAAGGTGGTCAACGGGAACCCCAAAGCCGCCGCCTGTTGCGAGGAGCTGAAGGAGATGAAGGTCCAGGTGGCCAACCTCTCGGCATGGATCGAGGAGATGAGCAAGAAGCAGGATGCCGAGCTGGGCAGTGCCCTCGTGCAGGTCATCGAGCTGGAAGGCAGCCTCAAGCGCATGGACCTGCGCCTCAATGACGTGGAAGGGAAGTACTCCGAGATGAACAACCAGCTGGGCATCGTCCAGCTCCAGGCGGCACAGACTGTCACCCAAACGTCCGCAGGTAAGTCCCGGCTCTTCCCTCCTTCTGCTTTGGAGATACCGTATATACTCGGGTATAAGCCGACCCGAATACAAGACGAGGCACCTGATTTTACCACTGAAAGCTTGGAAAATGTATTGACTCGAGTATAATGCAAAATAAAAATAGATACCAATATAATGACATGAATTGAGGCATCACAAAGTTCAATGTTTTTGAATATTTATATGTAATTTAAGATAAGACTGTTCAATTCTGATCAGACTATTATTCTAACCTTCTTCAATGTCAATGTGCTCACGCATCCTTCCAATAATAATAAAGAGAGCAAAATAATAAATGTAATCAAAATAATAAGAAGGAGGGAGGGAAGGAGGAAGGAAAGAAAGAAGGAAGGACAAACAAAAGGGAAGGAAGGACAAAAAGGTGGAAGGGAAGGATGGATGGATGGAAGGAAAGATATAGGAAGGAAGAATGAAAGGGTGGGAGGAAAGAGAAGGAAGCAAAAAGGGAAGGAAGGAAGGGAGAAGGAAGGGAGGAGGAAGGAAAGAAGGAAGGATGAAAGGGAAGTAAGGATGAAAGAGGGGAAGGGAAGGATGAAAGAAAGGAAGGGAAGAAGGAAAGAAAGATAGAAGGAAGGAAGAACAAAAGGGTGGAAGGGAATGGAGGGGGGAAGAGGGAAGGGAAGGAAGGAAGGAAGGATAAATAGGTAGAGGGGGAAGGAGAAGGGGAAGGAGAAGATGAAAGGGTGGAAGGAAGGAAGGATGAAGGGAGAAAGAGGGAGGTAAGGAAGGGAGGAGGAGGAAGGAAAGAAGAGGAAGGAAAAAGGGTGGAAGGGAAGGGATGGAATGGATGGAAGAGGAGGAAGAGGAAAGGAAGAAAGGAGGAAGGAAGGAAGGAAGGAAGGAGGGTGGGAGGGAATGGGAGAGAGAGGAAGAAGGAAGGAAAGGGAAGAGAAGGAAGAAGGAAAGAAGGAAGAAGAAGGAAGGAGGAAGGAGAAAGGGAAGAGGAAGGAGAGGGAAAAGGAAGGAAGGGTGGGAAGGAAGAAGGAGGGAGAAGAGGGAGGTAAGGAAGAAAGGGAGGAGGAAAGGGAGGAAAGGAAGAAGGAAGGAAGGAAGAAAAGGAGGGGGGGAAGGGAAGAAAGGAAGGAAAGAAGGAAGGGAAGAAAGATATAAGGAAGGAAGAATGAAAGCATGGGAAGGAATGGAGGGAGGGAGGAAAGAGAAGGAAGCAACGACAAAGGAAGGAGAAGGAAGGAAGGAGGAAGGAAGGAAGGAAGGAAGGAAGAAGGAGGAAGGAAGGAAGGAGAAAGGGAAAGGGAAGGAAGGGAAGATGGAAGGAAAGGAAGGGAAGAAGAAAGGAGAAAAGAAGGAAGGAAGGGAGGGAAGAAGGAAGGAAAGAGAGAAGGAAGGATAGTATGGTGAGAGATAGGAGGGCCTGGGAAAAAGCCCAAGGGGCTGCATTCGGCCCGTCGACCCGTGTTTGCCCATACCTCGGCTACATCAAACATAAACAGATAAAATATAGATTTAACAGCAAGACAGCAAGTTCAATTCTCAAAAGCCTATAGGAAAAACCAAGTCTCCATATGAAAGACACACGGGAGGGGTCTGTAGGAAATTCTAGAGCAAAAGTCCTTCTTCACATTCCTAGGAGATGGGATTCATAAAAAGGCTAAACAGGGCTGCCCACAAAGTGTTCAAAGCCAGAGCACTTCAACTCCAAACCAAGACAAGTGTAAACAAGATGGTTTGCTTTGGTTTATGTTCCTTGTAAGAAGGCATTAAATGGCATGACACAGAGAAGGAACTCCCGGATGCAAACAAGTCCCGGTTGGCACCTAATCCTTCCTTCCTACCAGGTGGAATACATTCACTTTGTGCAAGCTGTCAGGATAGATGAAAATCTACTACTGGGAGAGTTTCTCCCTTCCAAACAGCTGGATGTGGAATTCCTAGCACGGGAAGGAAAGCAGAAGAGCTTCCCAAAGAGACAGGAGTGGGAATGCACCCCTACAAAACAGAGACATGCAGAAAGTAGGCGGTGCGCAGCCCAAACATGTTGAGCACATCGATTTGGCTCACATGCCTCACTGCACACAGGCCCCAGGCCCAGCTGTCCCATCACATCAGGACATTTGGATTTGAGGAAAAGAAGCAAACGGTGCAAAGAAGTCCTTTTCCCAAGCTGCACTACAGCTCCCATGACCCCTGGCTACCAAAGGCATGGTCCCAAAACTTCTTGCCCACTTCATGCTCATCTGGAAAAGGCAATATAAGGAAAAATGAGGAGGAAGCATAGATCTTTAAAGTAGTGGTTCCCATCCTCTTTATGACCAGGGACCACTTTGACCAGGGACCACTTTGACTAAGGAGCACTTTAACCAGGGACTACCTTGACCAGGGACTATGTTGACCTGGGACCACCTTGACCAGGGACCATTTTGACCAGGGGCCACCTTTACAAGGGACCACCTTGACCAAGGACCATCTTGAAAAAAGACCACTTTGACCAGAGACCACTTTGACCAGGGACCACCTTGACCAAGGACCACGTTGAACACAGGCCACTTTGACCAAGGACCACCTTGAACAAAGACCACTTTGATCAGTGACCACTTGAATACGGACCACTTTGACCAGAGACCACTTGATCAGGGACCACCTTGACCAGGGGCCACCCTGACCAAGGACCACGCTGAACACAAACCACTTTGACCAGGGACCACCTTGACCAAGGACCACCTTGACCAGGGACCACTTTGACCAGGGACCACCTTGATCAGGGACCACCTTGACCAGAACAGGGACCACCTTGACCAAGGACCACTCTCCAACATTAGTTCCAAAAGGGTTATGAATCAGTTTTGGTCAACTTTAGATTTGGTTTGGTTATTTGGGGTGCTGATTCAGAAAATTGCATTGGGTAGACCACATCACCTCTAGTTTCTGATACGGAACATATGCCATCCAGTAGTTGCCATCTGCTTGCCCACAGAAAATCATATAACATGGATTATCTGACTTGATATTCTGGATTATATGGCTGTGAGAACTCAGATAATCCAATTCAAAGTAGATATTGTGGGATTTCCTGCCTTGATATTCTGGGTTATATGGCTGTGTGGAAGGGCCCTAAGCAGTATTAGCTAGGATGTGATATGTGCAAGCTAAGTATATGTTATTTTGCGCAGTGGCATGTCATTGTCCCTGGCAGTTCAAAGACATGGTTGATCATTACTTTAAGGGTGAATAGCTTGGCTTTAGAACTAGTTTTAAGGGATTCAGACCCTCATGCTGGAGCCATCAAATCTTTTGTGGCTGATTGGAATTGGATGAGGAAGACACCTAATGTTGATGTTTTTGAAAGAGGTAGACTGGTGTCAACAAATGCTGAAGCCCATCTTGAACTGCCTTCACGCAGATGCTGTGTACGACTGCTCATCCCTTTACCAGAGGAATTACAGAACCTCAGGGGTATACAGACTCCTTCCAGATGAATTCCTGGGGACCCCAGAACTACAGGTAAGAGCTCGCTTAAGAAAGGCACTTCCCTTGACAACTGTGGCCAACCAGAAGGCAGAGAAACCACCATAGCTCCAGCTTTCCCGAACCATTTGCATCCACACTCTTTCTCCATCAGGTCTACTGCGACATGGAGACGGAGGGCGGAGGATGGACCATCATCCAGAGGCGTAAAGTGGGCCTGATCTCCTTCAGCCGAGACTGGAAGCAGTACAAGCAAGGCTTTGGCAGCATCCAGGGTGACTTCTGGCTAGGAAACGAGCACATCCACCGGCTCACCATGCGCCCAACCATGCTGAGAGTGGAACTGGAGGTAAGGGTTTGAGCGTCGATAATTCAAGCCTCTTTGCAGGCTTCAGTAGGACAAACCTATGCATTGAGTAGGGGAATCTGCCACCTAGTTACTGAAGCTGGTACTACATGCTCCATCATTAATTGAAATTATTTCATTTTGAAAAGAGAATAACATTTACCTTTGACATTTTTTATGGTGTCATAAATTAACCTGCCTGCTTTAAGCGGTCCCTAATTTCTCTACTCACAGCTCAGCTGTTTTCGAAGTGCTTAGGTGAAGAGTAAGCTGGGCTATTAACAGTCGGGAGCTCAAATCCAACTCAGCCTTTGAACTGCTTAGGTGAAGAGTAAGCTCGCTATTAACAGTCGGGAGCTCAAACCCAACTCAGGCTTCAAATTACTTAGGTGAAGAGTAAGCTGGGCTATTAACAGTTGTGGAGCTTAAACCTGACTCAGACTTCAAACTGCTTAGGTCAGTGGTTCTTTTGGCCTTCAACTCCCAGAAATCCTAACAGCTGGTATACTGGCTGGGATTTCTGGGAGTTTTAGGCCAAAAACATCTGGGGACTTCAGGTTGAGAACCACTGGCTTAGGTGAACAGTAAGCTGAGCTATTAACAGTCAGGAGCTCAAACCCTTCAGGTCGGCAATGATTTATTGCTTCTAGTGATTCACCAGCTGTGCTACAGCCCGGCCCAATTTTCCTGAATTTCATCATGATCAGATACCTAGCTGCTGTTATAAATAATGACAGTCTCTCTAAAGGAGCACAAAGCTTGCTGAAACCTATAATAGGGCCAGACTTTAGCACAGTGGGTTAAACTGCCAGCTGCTCAGTGGACAGTTCAACTGAGGTTGGGGTGAGCTCCCAACTGTTAGCCCACTTAGCAGTTCAAAAACAGTAATGTGAGTAAGTAAATAGGTACCGCTTAGGTGGGGAGGTAGTATAAGGTGCCCATACTGAAATGCTGGCAATGCAGTTGGGACAGTTGGGAGAGCATCTAATGACAACAAAGCTCCTCTGCATAGAAGATGGAGCACAGCCTCCAGATGCCGGAGATGGAAAAAGATGGGAAGCCTTTGCCTTTGTTTATGTACTGTCTGCCTTTGTTAACTGTATACTGGCATTGAATATTTGCTGTATATGTGTACTGTAATGCGCCCTGAGTCCCCTTGGGGAGATAGGGCAGAATATAAATAATTATTATTATTATTATTATTATTATTATTATTATTATTATTATTATATACTAGCTGTACTCTCCTACTTTCCCTCCTTCCTTCCCTCCCTCGTTCTTTCCTTCCTTCCTTCTCTTTTCTTCTTTCCTTCCTTCCCTACCTCTTTCCTTTCCTTCCTTTTTTCTCTTTCTTCCTTCTCTACCGCGTTCCTTCCTTCCTTCGCTTTTTCTTTCCATCCTTCCTTCTCTTTCACTCTTTTCTTCTTTTGAGTTATGTTAATCCCACAAACAAACATTACATTTTTATTTATATAGACTAGCCGTCCCCTGCCACGCGTTGCTGTGGCCCACTCTGGTGGTCATGGGGGTTGTGTGTGGGAGGTTTGGCCCAATTCTATTATTGATGGGGTTCAGAATGCTCTGTGATTGGAGGTGAACTACAAATCCCAGCAACTACAACTCCCAAATGTGAAGATTCTATTTTCCCCAAACTCCATCAGTGTTCAAATTTTGGAATATTGAGTATTCATATAGAGTTTGGTCCAGATCCATCATTGTTTGAGTCCACAGTGCTCTCTGGAAGTAGGTGAACTACAACTCCAAAACCAAAGGACACTGCCCACCAAACCCTTCCAGTATTTTCTGTTGGTCATGGGAGAACTGTGCGCCAAGTTTGGTTCATTGTTGGTGGGGTTCAGAATGCTCTTTGATTGTTGGTGAACTATAAATCCCAGCAACTACAACTTCCAAATGACAAAATCATTTTATTTTTTTTAGTGAAGGACATACATTGGGTTGTTAGGTGTCTTGTGTCCAAACTTGGTGTCAATTCGTCCAGTGGTTTCAGAGTTCTGTTAATCCCACAAACAAATATGACATTTTTATTTATATAGATTATTCATATTCAAACCTGGAAGGAAGACCTGCCTGAAGGTATCCCGGAGCAGCAGATCTGAAAGCTGCATTATGCAGTCAATAGCATCCTTAGCTATGAGTTGTTTATAAGTTGGATTGCCTGTATATGTCTATTCCTAGAGAGCATTTTACGAGATGCATCATTAACAAAGATATCTGATCGTCATCTTCCCAGGACTGGAATGGCAACACCCGTTACGCCCAGTACAGCCAGTTTGTGATGAGCAATGAGCTGAACAGCTACCGCCTGTTCCTGGCCAATTTCAGTGGCAATGTGCCCCATGACTCCATGCGGTACCACAACAACACAGCCTTCAGCACCAAGGACAAGGACAACGACAAGTGTGTGGATCACTGCGCACAATTACGCAAGGGTAAGCGCTTGGGGAGGGGGAATCTCTTCCCCCCAGTTTTAGCTGAGCTCTTGTTTACATTTCTTGCTACACAATGGAAGTCCTACAATCTACATGTCAGTATTTCAGAGGGGTCATCAAACAGCATCAGAAAACATATTTGAGAGCGCTGTTTCTGAGACTCCAAGAAGGGAGGGGAGAGCAGGAGTGCTCAGAACATGGCAGCGTGGTGCATATGTGCAGGCAAGGGAGAGCGTGTAAGGCTGGAGGGAGGCACCATTCGAGACATGGGGGTTCTGTGTGGGAAGTTTGGCCCAATTTTATCATTGGTGGTATTCAGAATGCTCTTTGATTGTAGGTGAACTATAAATCCCTTCAAGTACAAATCCCAAATGTCGAGGTCTATTTTCCCCAAACTCCACCACTGTTCACATTTGGGCATATTGAGTATTAATGCCAAGTTTGGTCCAGATCCATCATTGTTTGAGTCCACAGTGCTCTCTGGATGTAGGTGAACTACAACTCCCAAACTCAAGATCAATGCCCAGCATAATCTTCCAGTATTTTCTGTTGGTCATGCGAGTTCTCTGTACCAAGCTTGGTTTAATTCCACCGTTGGTGAAATTCAGAATGCTCTTTGATTGTAGGTGAACTATAAATCCCAGCAACGACAACTCCCAAATGTCAAGGTCTGTTTTCCCCAAACTCTACCACTGTTCACATTTGGGCATATTGAGTATTAATGCCAAGTTTGGTCCAGATCTATCATTGTTTGAGTCCACTGTGCTCTCTAGATGTAGGTAAACTACAACTCCCAAACTCAAGGTCAATGCCCACCAAACCCTAATGCTCCCAAATGACAAAATCAACCCCCCCCCCCCAATCCCAGCAGTATTCAAATTTGGGCACATTGGGTATTTGTGCCAAATTTGGTCCAGTGAATGAAAATACATCCTGCATATCGGATATTGACATGACGATTCCTAACAATAGCAAAATGACAGTTATGGAAGTAGCAATGAAAATAATGTTATGTTTGGGGGTCACCACAAGATAAGGAAAAGTATTAAGGGGTCGCGGCATTAGGAAGGTTGAGAACCACTGTCTAAGAGGAATGTTTTTTATCCCATTGTTTGTGGATAGGAGGCTACTGGTACAACTGCTGTACAGACTCCAACCTGAACGGCGTTTACTACCGCAACGGCGAACACAACAAGAGCACAGACGGCATCACTTGGTACGGCTGGTACGGCAAAACCTACTCCCTGAAGAGGGTCGAGATGAAGATCCGGCCCACAGACTTCAAAGCCCAGGGCGACACCAACAAAGTTGAGTAAGGAGGCAACGAGGAGACCTCTTCGTGAGGGGACTGATGGCGGAAGGGGATGGGCAGGCAAACGCACTCTTACTTAGTAGCAAAACCACAACGGCGGATGCAAAAAGGATGGATGGACGCAAGGTATGGCACCCACATACATAACTAATGACACAGGCCTCACACCTTTCTCAACGCTCAAGCAAAACCATCTATACCAGGGGTTTCCAACCTTTTTTTAACCAGGGACCACTTTGACCAGGGACCACTCTCCAACATTAGTACCAAAAGGGTCAGCTTTGGGCCAACTTCAGATTCAGTTTGGTTATTTGGGGTGATGATTCAGAAAATTCTATTGGATAGACAGCATCAGCTGATTCAGAAAATTGCACTGGATAGACAACATCAGCTGATTCAGAAAATTGCATTAGATAGACAACATCAGCTGATTCAGAAAATTTCATTGGGTAGACCACATCAGCTGATTCAGAAAATTGCATTGGACAGACCACATCAGCTGAATCGGAAAATTGCATTGGATAGACTACATCAGCTGATTCGGAAAATTCCACTGGATAGACCACATCAGCTGATTCAGAAAATTCCACTGGATAGATCACATCAGCTGATTCAGAAAATTGCATTGAATAGACCACATCAGCTCTAGTGTTTGGTGTAAGTGAAACGACATCCAGAATAACACATGACAAAGACTGCTATACACCACAATGCATTTTGTGTCTAGATGAAGTCACTGCGGACTCCTCTCGCAGCCCAATTCCCCGCTTAACTGTGTTGCCAGAGTGGGTCCATAGTTAATATATCTATTTTTATTCACTTTTTAAAAAATTGCAAGAGAGAGTTAGCTTAATTTAAAGTTGCTGTCTTGTCGCCGGAGATGCCAGTTGTATATATGTTGACTAGACAAAAAGTGGGATATTTCGCCAGGAGGGTCTTCTTTGTTACGGAAGCCTTTTGTTTGGGATGTGTGCATGCTGTAAATTAAAAGAGCGCTCTGTACAAATTGTGCCTCGTTTGTGTTGTGAAACCGTTCTCCCGACCCCATTCTATAATAAACTCTTTTGTTTTTAAGACCGGGCTTCCATTCTTTGTCCTAAAAATACTAACTAACGGGGTGATGAAAACACACAAGTCCTGAAAAGAAAAGGTGTTCAGCTGCTGACTTGCAGAGAGGTGAAAGGAAAGTCCAATGCTGAACAATATAAGACTGTCGCACTATATACAAGGAATTAATTCACAAAATTGTTCCACATATACAGCCCAGAAAACACACAACAACTCAACCATTTTGGAGTGTTTTGGGTGTCAGAATTCTAGACAAGGAACGCTCCGTTTGCAAATACAGTGTTCCCGCTCTACTTCGCGGTTCGCTTTTTGCGGACTCGCTATTTCGCAGGTTTTTGCCTCCCAGTTTATGAATGGTTGTCGTTTCCCAGAGTGGCATTCTAATCCCACCTCCTGGCAACAATGGAGTGTGGAAGGGGGTTTCACCCTCCCCTTCGGGAGGAAAAAAGTGTGCAGTGCTTTTAAATCTGTTGCACTCCAGGACAGGAATAACCCTCTGACTTTGAAACACCACACGTTGAATAGGAAAAGCAATCTTTTTATTGAAGATAAGTAAAAACAGCAAAGTAAAGAAACACTTTAAAGGAATAGGTAAATCCAATTAGGTAAAAAGATAAGCAGGAAAATATTGGTTCAAGGTAGAGTTCAGCAATGTCCAAAAAGAAATTCCACAAGTCTCTAACTAAATTCAAAGAACCAGGAAACGTTGATCCAAGGCATGAGCAGATAGTCACAAGAGACAAAAAACCAAAGCAGGGAACAAGAAATCTTTAAGCATGAATCTTCCAAGCAAGGCTTCTATGAGACGAGGACAAGAACTTAGCAGGTTTCTAAACGAAGCTTCGTCTGACTATTTTTTCCATGCTTGGAAGTTATATGCCTTTCCAAGCACTCAGAAACTGGTTTCGCTTTCCTTGAGCAGCCCTTATCTTTTTCTCTTGAAGCTTGGCAGCACGCTGAAGGCCTTGCTCGGCCTGTCTGTTTTGACTAATTTCTGCTCGCCTATCTATATGCTCATTAGATTCTGCAACTGTTTTCAGGCCCCAAATCCTGGGAACTCTCTGGGAGAAATTCAGGGAGTAAACCATCATCCCTATACTCTGTAGGAATATTCTCAAGGGAAACTACACTGAACAGGTGACTGTGTCATTCTTTGCATCAATATCACTGACCAAACCATTGCCATCTTGAACCTCATTTACATCATTCCCCACATACAAAACACCCTGATCCTGAAACACAACCACAGGCTGAACTCCAACAAAATCTGTCCTCGCTTCCGCCTCACCCTCGGAACTCAATACAGATATATAGCGTCCCTAGTTGACGGATTTTCACTTTTCATGGGTGGTCCTGGAATATTAACACTCATGAAAAGTGAGGGAACACTGTAGCTAACACCTCCCAACAAAGGATTCCTCCAGGCAGTATGATGTCACACCTGAAACTGCCAGGCCATTAAATGCCAACCAAGGTGGCCAATGGAAACATTCACACCTATCTCCAATAGGCAGGAGTTCTTTCTCCAACCGTGGACATCATTCCACAGATATATAAACCCCACTTGCCTAGTTTCCAACAGATCTCACAACCTCTGAGGATGCCTGCCATAGATGTGGCTGAAACATCAGGAGAGAATGCTTCTGGAACATGGCCAGACAGCCCGGAAAACACACAACAACCCAGTGATTCTGGCCTAGCGAAACCTTATCCACTATCGAGATCTTCAGTGATCGATATAGTGTCACCACCGCTTACCACCGTGTCAATAAATACACGATATTTTACTTTCAGCAGGTCAACATTGAGGAAGAATACATGTACCACCACCACAAGACCATCGGAAGTGTTTCAATGCATTGTCGAAGGGTTTCATGGCCGGAATCACTGGGTTGCTGTAAGTTTTTGGGCTGTTGGAGGTAGGTGTGAATGTTTCAATTGGTCACTTGGATTAATAATAATAATAATAATAATAATAATAATACTTTATTTCTACCCCGCGATGACCTCCCCAAGGGGACTCGGGGTGGCTTACACGAGGCCATGCCCAGCAATACAGTAAAACAATATAACACGAGATCACAACAGAAAATAAGAAAATAAAATAACATAAGATACAAAACCAATATAAATAAACAATAGCATTTAATGGCCAAGCAATTTTCAAGGCGTGGCTTCTTACTGCCTGGGGGAATCCTTTGTTTAGAGGTTATTAGTTGCCCCTTCCTGGAACAACTCTCCTCGCTTCTGCCTCAGCCTCAGCCCAAAAAGCTTACAGCAACCTAGTGTTTCAATGCTTAGCAACACAACAACACAACAGCTTAGCAACACAACAAGGGAGAGAAAATGGAGCGAACTTTTTTGGACTCCAACTTCCAGAATCCCCAAGTTTTATTTTATTTCGTATCAAAAGCATTGCATAAATTAGTATAAAACTAATAAAAATAGAAGGTGTGCAAGCGGCTAAATATCTTTTGACCAAAAACGGGCAACAGCAACGACATTGTCTGTGGCCTCCCACAATTCTTCCTCTGTACATGAGGCAGGGCACAGTGGACAAGCATACAGATGCAGAGTTGTCTGTTCTGCTCCACAGTCACACAAGTGGTCTTGTTAAAAAGGGTAACTTTTCCAAGCAGCTCATACAACAGGGCCAGGCCTAGAGCCAGGAGGAGAGGAAAAGTCTGCAGAATTCCTGGCAGAGAGCGGCACCGCTCCTATTGTCCTTGGCCCCAGGCGTTTAAATACCAGATGATGGTATTTTAAGACGCAGGGAGGGTCAATGCATGGAGTTTTTATGCGCTTAGCTTGTGCTGGAGCATTTCTGCAGCTCCGGTCAGGCCAATTGACACCGCAATAGCGATTAATTCCCCAAACCACCGTGATATAAGTGTTCAAATAAGTCGACAATGGCCTAGCTTCTTACAATATTTATCTCTGTGTTAGAAAAAGCCATGAGCCAGTGGATTCAAAGGATCTTTATGTAAAACATCACGTCACACTTTGGCAGGTCATTTGTGTGACATACTACAAGGAGCTCTTCTTTGCGCCAAGGTTGAGCTTTCTGCTTCACATAAACAGGAAAAGAGATTCTTAAAGAGATGCAATGCCTTCTCTTCTCAAGATCAGAGAACAGACTAAAAGCCTAAAATGTGTTTTCGACATTCCATTTATACCTTAAATAAGTTATGCGCAAACCCAGGCCCAAGGGCCGGATAAGAGTCCTTAGGTTCTTTTATCAGGCCATCCTCTCTCTCACTATCCTATCTTTCCTTCCTTCCTTCTCTCTTTCTCACCTGCTTCCTCCCCTAATTCTCCTTCCCTTCCATCCTTTTGCCCTTCCTTTTTTCCAACATAGCAATAAGCATACATTTCCCTAAACCAACAACAAAATGGTGGATGCATTCTCTTGTCAGAGAAACAAGCTAAAATTCAACCTCCTCTTGTCAGAGAAACAAGCCAAAATACAACCTTGTCAGAGAAATAAGCCGAAATTCAACCTTCTCTTGTCAGAGAAACAAGCCAAAATTCAACTCCTACCAGAGAAAGAAGCTGAAAGTCAACCTTCTCTTGCCAGAGAAACAAGCTAAAATTCAACCTTCTCTTGTCAGAGAAACAAGACAAAATTCAACCTTCTCTTGCCAGAGAAACAAGACAAAATTCAACCTTCTCTTGCCAGAGAAATAAGACAAAATTCAACCTTCTCTTGTCAGAGAAACAAGACAAAATTCAACCTTCTCTTGTCAGAGAAACAAGACAAAATTCAACCTTCTCTTGTCAGAGAATCAAGACAAAATTCAACCTTTTCTTCTCAGAGAAACAAGCTAAAATTCAACCTTCTCTTGTCAGAGAAACAAGACAAAATTCAACCTTCTCTTGTCAGAGAAACAAGCTAAAATTCAACCTTCTCTTATCAGAGAAACAAGCTAAAATTCAACCTTCTCTTGTCAGAGAAACAAAATTCAACCTTCTCTTGTCAGAGAAATAAGACAAAATGCAACCTTCTCTTATTAGAGAAACAAGCTAAAATTCAACCTTCTCTTGTCAGAGAAACAAGACAAAATTCAACCTTCTCTTGTCAGAGAAACAAGACAAAATTCAGCCTTCTCTTGTCAGAGAAATAAGACAAAATGCAACCTTCTCTTGTCAGAGAAATAAGACAAAATGCAACCTTCTCTTATCAGAGAAACAAGCTAAAATTCAACCTTCTCTTGTCAGAGAAACAAGACAAAATTCAACCTTCTCTTGTCAGAGAAACAAGACAAAATTCAACCTTCTCTTGTCAGAGAAACAAGCTAAAATTCAACCTTCTCTTATCAGAGAAACAAGCTAAAATTCAACCTTCTCTTGTCAGAGAAACAAAATTCAACCTTCTCTTGTCAGAGAAATAAGACAAAATTCAACCTTCTCTTGTCAGAGAAACAAGCTAAAATTCAACCTTCTCTTATCAGAGAAACAAGCTAAAATTCAACCTTCTCTTGTCAGAGAAACAAGACAAAATTCAACCTTCTCTTGTCAGAGAAACAAGACAAAATTCAACCTTCTCTTGTCAGAGAAACAAGACAAAATTCAACCTTCTCTTGTCAGAGAATCAAGACAAAATTCAACCTTTTCTTCTCAGAGAAACAAGCTAAAATTCAACCTTCTCTTGTCAGAGAAACAAGACAAAATTCAACCTTCTCTTGTCAGAGAAACAAGCTAAAATTCAACCTTCTCTTATCAGAGAAACAAGCTAAAATTCAACCTTCTCTTGTCAGAGAAACAAAATTCAACCTTCTCTTGTCAGAGAAATAAGACAAAATTCAACCTTCTCTTGTCAGAGAAACAAGCTAAAATTCAACCTTCTCTTATCAGAGAAACAAGCTAAAATTCAACCTTCTCTTGTCAGAGAAACAAAATTCAACCTTCTCTTGTCAGAGAAATAAGACAAAATTCAACCTTCTCTTATCAGAGAAACAAGCTAAAATTCAACCTTCTCTTTCACAGAAATAAGACAAAATTAAACC